ATAAAAAAAAATAAAACAAATATTTTTCTTTTTTAACAGAGTCATTAAAGATTTTTAATATCAATTTTTGTTTTAATAATGTAATATTATTAATTCATATTTTAAAAATATAATTATTATATCTATACCGATAACGAAGACTTAAAGAACTAAAATTTATTCTGTGCACGTTACTGGATTTCACTAGCGTTGCAATGCGCATGCGCTAAAAGGTGACTCGCCTAACAACACTGACTGGTATAAACTAAACCGGTGCTTGGTCAAAATGCGTGCATACAATTACAAACCACCTATGCCACCTATATGGGAGAAATCATGCGTAAACAATGCACAAGCAATGAGCAACAAACGAATCGACCAATCATACTAGAGAACCTCGCGAACCCTCGAATAGAAATATTCATGAGATTAAAAACCGTTCGATATATTCAAAACAACTATAATGCGCGCTTTTCAAAAACATTTAGGTCAATTTAGTATTTATAAAGTTTATTAATAAAAAATAAATTTAATTAAAAGTTTATATATTTATATTAATAGTTTTAAAAAATTTTATTTTTTTAGAAAAATTTAAAAATAAGAATGTCATAAGAATTAGTTTAATGTTTAAATAATATAAATAAAAAATAGAAATAATATTTGGATCCTTTGGGTCTTCTTCATTATAGATTTAACAAAGGTAATTATATTAATATAAATTAATTGTAAATTTTACACGTTTTATTAGAATTCTGGTAAGAACTGTCAAAGTAGAATAAAGTGCATTGTAGTCAATTAAAAATTAAGACTTCAAACTAATTGTAAAAAGCGAAATTAGGTGTCCATTGCAGAAATAAAATTAATTCATCAATGTATAAAATTCAGTATATAAAAGCCAGAAAACTAAGTTGGCAGTTAGGAGCTATGTGATTAACTATAATAATTTATAGAAAAGCACGTACCTCATTAATGTTTCACTTATCGTTAGATGCACATTAGATGAGAATTAATTATAATTATGATTTACATATATATAATCAAGTGTAAAATAAAGTAAATTGAAGTGTAATAATCTTGTGAAAGTCGAGTTAGTACTAACATGTTTATAGAATAGAATAGAATTTATTTCACTTCAGCATACACTACTAACATGTTTATATATATATATATATATATATACCTTAGCTACAAGAGAAGGAAGTATCAGTTAAACTCTAAACAAGCTGTTGATATCCCAGAGAGACAGATGCTGAACACTTTATGTATATTTTAGTTGCTATTATAGCAGCACAAAATTGAAGCAAACTGACGAACTATGCTGATAACATTCATATTATGAACAATATAAAAATAGATAGAGTAGGCTAATGAGAGTCAGCAACGATAAACGGCGCAATTACTTAGTGAATAATCAATACTTAGAAATTGGATTGATGTCTTTTTTTATTTGAACGTTCCAACTCTCTTTGGTGTCCTCTTCAGCAAAACAATACAAGAATAAATAGCTCACATGTCCATGCTTAAGTCACTTTTAAGGGGATCCTAAACCGATTACCGGACTTGATCGAGATCGATAGTGCAGACTTTTTTAATTCCAAATTCGATAATAGTGAATCTTTGATTCATTTCTTACATTATATTATATATCGTTCTATCTCACTTAAATGCATACATCTGTCCTTATCTAACATATGCCAGCACCATCTATCGCAAGACCGCGCAACTATTACTACACGGAATTTCGACTCTGTTGACAGTCCCAGTCTTCGCAAAGTACCCGTATATACATATTTTCTATTCGGTAGGATTACTTTCCTTCTAGACTTTCAATCTTAGTTCTATAAACTTGGTATCGTTCGTTATAATAATGTGAGCTCAGACCTATGCTTATTTTCAAGATATAAACTATAAAACTCTTGTATGAAGCAAATATAGACCTGAGGTGTCAGCTGTACGAGCTAAAAGTAAGCGAATTTTTAAACTTTTCTTCGATTTTCTCCTAAAATCCGATACAGCTGAGATCCTGTTTGTGCGTACTTTAATTCTGTAAAAACAATTTTTTGCAATCCGTCAATTCAATTCGGAGATATTTCACCGAATGGAAATGATGGTAAAGTAGAACAACTTTAATGCCCGTGTCACACTACGCATTGGAGATTGAGGATTGCGAATTAAGGATTAGAATTCGACCAATCAAGTAATTTTAAGTTTAATCCATTTCGTTCTAATTGGCTGAATTCTAATTTTCAATTCGTAATCCTCAGTCTCCAATGCGTAGTGTGACACGGGCATAACATCCCCTTAAATTGACAAAGATGAAACGTTGTTAATCTTCACGAAACATGAAGCGTGTCATGAAGCTTTGTTACATAATTTGACTTAAAAAGTAGATATGTGTTAAATTCGGATGTACAGATCACGCATTTTTAAATACACGTCCGTGTACGACAATGTGTCACTCAGGTATTTATATTATGAGGACACGTCTTGCAGACGTACTATATGAAAAACAATATACTGATATTTGTCTATCTGGGTATATGATGGGCGAAGAAACTACGTATTGTTTTGTAAATTTAAACTAGGGCTCTAATTTTATTCCGTTTTTCGAAGATACGTGTAAACGTAAAACGTTTATCCGTTTATATTCGCTTTCAAAAAAACGTTTACTTGAAGGTAAACGTTTACACGTTTAATTAGCACGTTTAATTAGGTAATTATACGTGTAAACGTGTTTTCGTTTAAACGTATAATAGTTAATTACATGTATATTCGGAAAAACATTTCTAATAAACGGATATACTAATTATACGTGTAAACGTATTTTCGTTTAAACGTATAATAGCGAGCCCTAATTTAAACCCTATATTTATATTTGTGTATATTCATCATTTCCGATACCAAAGTTTTGTTTATAATATAATGTTTGCTCTATAGAATACTGTCTCAATTTTAAATAATTTTAATTTTAGTATTTTAATTTACTAGTTTATAATTACAAAAAATTTATTACTTGAATATATTACAAATATTTATCAATAATAATTTAACTTTGTAGTTATTCGACTTTTATCCTCGAGTGGTTGCCATTTGGAAACTCTTGCTTAAAATCACTAGATTTATGACTTTACTCTTGGCTGCGATTGGTCGAGCGTATCGCGTTTAAAGCTGGTCTACATTAGTCGCATCGCAGCGTCGCAAGCGTTGCGGTCCAATCAACATCAAACTAGCTCGACTCTGATTGGATCATAACGCTTACGACACGCTTGCGACATTGCGATGCGACTAATGTAGAACCAGCTTAAGGGGTATGTTCCTTTTTTACTGGCAGTGCAGTCATCATGACGTCACAACAGTGTACTGTCACAGCCGTTCCAAAATTACTGTGGTACTGCCAGCACTACTGTAACATCGTATTTCGGAACGGCTTTGCAGTAGACTGGCAGTAGTGTAAACAGACACCATGGATAAACGCATTACATTGTCAATGAATTTTGAACGAAAGCAGCAGCGATAGTTCTTCCGAAGAAGATAAATTAATTATGGAATCACCAATTCAAGCAGTTTGACCTCGTGTTAAAAATTATATGGGCACAATTAATAAATATTCAGATGTGGAATTTAAGTCATTTTCTGTAAAATGCATCTGCACTTAAATATAATGTATATATTTTTTTATTTCCTAGATCGGATGAATATTTCCACGTGTTGTGCTTCTTTAAGCGATGCCATATTGCATTGTGACTGCCTCACCTCGAAAGGGTGCTATTTCATTTGTACATTTTTGTCGTACGACAAATGTGTACAGAACAGAGAAGTCCTCGGATCTCTCTATTCTATAGCCAATCAACAGGCTTGAAAAATTTGTCGTACGACAAAAACGAACAAATAAAATATCACCCAAAGCCGCAGTAGTCGCAGTGGCAATAGGTGCATTGGGTGCATTCAGTAATACAACCGCTCACTGAGCGCTCGTATCTTATTGGCATTACCCCGGATCTACAATAGAGTTTTAAGCCTTAAACCAAAAATGGACGAATCATAATCGAATATTCTTCTCGAATTCGACTGTAATTGGTCAGTTTCTTACGACTTCAGGCTTAAAACACCTATTGTAGATCCGGAGTTAGAATCTCTTATTATAGTGTCTCTAATTGGTATATTCTGTTAAAACTAAAAATATAGACCGAACAGATACAAGAGCTCACTGAGCGCTCAATGGGCGCATTCAGCGGACTCAACAGTTGAGTGAGCGCTTGCTGTTATTGGTGTATTCTTTTAGCTCATCCAATCAGAATTTTAGATCTAGAAGAATACATCAATAGCAGCGAGCGCTCACTCAACTGTTGAGTCTGCTGAATGCGCCTATTGAGTGGTGTAGTACTGAATGCACCCAATCAGTACCACGACCGCTTACTAAGCGCTCAGTAAGCTCTCGTATCTGTTTGGTCTATATTTTTAGTTCTAACGGAATATACCAATAAGATGCTAGTGCTCACTGAGCGCTCATTTTCTACAACTTAAGACCCTGCGACCGCTACGACTTCTATTGTAGACTCCGCATAATTACAAAAATGAGCAAATTTACTAGAATACTGATTTCATTGGGTGCATTCAGTACCATGAGCGCTCACTGAGTGTTCAGTAAGCTCTTGTATCTGTTTGGTCTATATTTTTTAGTTCTAACGGAATATGCCAATAAGATGCAAGCGCTCACTGAGCGCTCAGTGAGCGCTTGCATCTTATTGGCATATTCCGTTAGAACTAAAAAATATAGACCAAACAGATACAAGAGCTTACTGAACACTCAGTGAGCGCTCATGGTACTGAATGCACCCAATGAAATCAGTATTCTAGTAAATTTGCTCATTTTTGTAATTATGCGGAGTCTACAATAGAAGTCGTAGCGGTCGCAGGGTCTTAAGTTGTAGAAAATTGACGAATCAGTTAATTATTCTTTTCATATTCGACTGTGGTTGGTCAATTTTCTACGACTTAAGACCCTACGACTGCTACGGGCTGCGGTCCACTTGACGCTACAAATGCTTCGAAGCGTTTGAGCGACCAATCAGAACAAAGAATTTTACGAATTAACTAATCAAAGAATGGCTGCGTTCAGCAGACTCAACA